AAAGGCATTTACATTGCTTAAATTGCCAGTGAATGCACAACTTCAGTTCTGTTTGGTTATCTTGGGGTTAAAAAAAAACTGGATGCAGTTTTTTATAACCTAATTTATACTGGACTCATGTGAACAGTTAACAAATGTTCATGTTGATTTTGTTAAAAAGCATTTACATTCCTTAGAGTACATTACAGGTTGAAAGCAGCCAAAGTCGAATTGTGAGCCAAAGATAATTACTTAAATCCACACAATTAAAGCATTACATTAGCATCACTTTATATTGTAGTTAAAACAAAACAACCTCTTTGTATCTACAAATATGCAAAGATGACTTGAATAGACTGTTACTGTTATTTCTTTACAACTAAATAGTGTTACAGCCTTCCAAGCTTCAACCTTGGTTCATTATCTCTTTTCACTGAAGTGTGATCCAGGAAAGGTCTTTGGCACTTCATCATTCTTTAATATAAAGTCTTCAAATGCCAACAAGACATTGCCCCAAATTTTGCTGAACACGAATAATATAAATAATATTTATCAAATTTTCAACCCAAGCAACAACCTTAGGCCACAACACTTTACCTTCACTGTCAGAAAAACTTTTCCCACTACCATTCTTTTTTTATTTATTTTTTTTTACCGAAAATCCACATTCATTTTCCCATCTTTGTCCTTGTGCTCACATCAAACCCTTTTCCATTTGATTATTTGACAAACACCTGACCTGTGTTGACTTCAACTTCATGCACCAATTCCCATATTAAAATCTTTACTTACTATAGCTGAAACCACGTGCACTCCCGCGAGTGCTATTTTTAGAGAAAGTCATTCCCTCAAAAGCTGTGTTCATTCAGTCAAGTAAAGAAGGTTAGCTGAGTCTAGAATCCGGCTTACCAGGGATGTTAAAATTTGTTTTTACCTCCTTTTCAAAAAAATAAATAAATAAATAAATAAGAATTAACCTTTAACCTTCCAATTCCGAATGCCTTTAATTATGCTGGATGTAACTGTGGTTACTTTGGTGAGGCAACTCACCATTTTTTCATTAGGGTAAAGGAAAATCTACTGACAGATAAAAATTCTCATGTTCACCAACACTTATATACCTTTCCAAATTGTGAACAAAAATGTTCAGTTCAGTGTTTTGTTATTATACTTAGTATCTACATTACTGTGCTTAGAAGTGTTACCTTCAGCTAGAGGTTTTTGTGACTTAAGTTTGCTTTAAAACCTTGCTTGTTTTTGGTTAGTGAGGTAAGAAGGAAAGGAATTGCATTATAGAGTACTTAAAAGTTTTTTTGTCCTGTTTTAAACTGGGAGTTGTGCTGTGTTTGTTGAAAAACACAACCACATCTATGGAACTCCAGAACTGTCTCATAGTGCTTTTTTCCCTTACATTGGTTTTATTTCATTATACTCTGTACCTCTGTCTTTATAATCAATGCTATTTTCATGATATAGGGTGCAGAGCTCATTACATTCGGTTCAAACACCGTTATATATGGTGCTTTTCCAATATGTTCGGTTTACACACCATTACATTTGGTGCTTTTTCCATTATATTTGGTTCCTACACTGGCACGAGTATGCTAAATAAAGAGACTTGAGTTTTAAGCCACAGCACTAGCTCTTGTAAAAAAGCTATTCACAACTGATGAAGGATTCAATCGTTTGGTTCCAAAACCAGTATTGCATTAAAAAGCATGCCAAACAGTTCTCTTTAGAACTCCAGCCAAGTGCCCAAATTATCACTGATCAAGTCATCTAAAAGAC